CTTACTGGATAATCATGGTAACGACCAAAAAGACATAGTAACGATCGGGAATCTTACTTAGTGACCGATGATAAGATTCTTACTCGATAAGTGCTCATTTAGTAAAATATACTTACCAACGGTCCATTTTAATACTCGAGAATATTATCCGATAAGATAAATTAAATAAAAATGATAACTATTCCTTATAAGTACTTACCCAGTAACCATTTAATAAACTGAAATAAGTGAGTGATTAAGCCAAAACATAAACCTATTCATTGAACACTCAAAAACAACTTTTGGGATCCACATTAATCTTACGTAACTCCATTTGTGGTGCATGTGTTTGACTTAATTGAATGGATTATCTATATTATATTATAAAACATTTAATAAAATTTTTAAAAAATCATTTTTATGTGTAAAGTATTGTTTATTAATGCATATTATTTAAAACTCAAGATTACAAGTAAATTGTGCGTAAGTACAACTTATTAAAGCTCCATATCTGAATCATGTAACTAACTGCAGATAAACATAATCCAATATATGATAAACATCTCATTTTAAATATAAAAAATCTAAAATACAATTAGGATAATAATTGAATTCTAAAGGAATTATATTGTTAAACCAAAAATAAATTACTTTGTTATTAAATCTAATTTAAATCATAATAAAAAATTGAATTAAAGAAATTACACCAAAAAAAAAACGAGAACTATTAAATAGTTAATTTGATACTAATATCAATTTTTTTTTCCTTCAAATTTTTATGCTATCTTCAAATTTATATTTCATTCAAAAATAAAAATATTATCGTTTTTCACAAACCACATAAAATCGCATTATATATATCGATAGAGACAAATAATAAAAACTAAACATTAAAATCGAGATTTATCTCGTTGCATTGTTCGAGTACCCTTCCAGTTTTAATTAAATAAAAACGACACGATAAGCAACATAAAAAGCTGATTATGGAATTAATAAGACGTTGGTGTTATAATTTCCAACAATTTTTAAGTTGATTTTTTTTTTCAAAGAGTTGAAAGAAATGATTAGGTTGACATCTTAACACTTAATCTAAGCAAATTTAATGTTGTCTTCTAGTAATCATATTCAAAAATATTGACAAATTTATAGTCATATTTTATTAAACAGATAACGTCAAAATTCGTGAAAGACGACATCCATGTGGATCTTAGTATAAAAAATTAATTAAAGTATATTGAGTTGAATAATGCTAAATTTTGTACGATTTAGATTCAACTTAAATATGTTATAGATTTCAAAGAGGATCATTTAAAATAAGACAACCTTATAAGGTAAACCTCAGTCAACAAGAATATATATGTGAAATAATTAAATCGAGATTAGTACAATTGGTACGACATAGATTCAATAAAACTTTCTGAATATTTCATGTATAAAAAATTAATTGAGTAAACAATATTGTTTTTCTTAATAAAATATTAATTTGAAGATATAATAAAAATTAAAAAAAATATAAAAGTTCTCATTTTTTGTGTAATTTCTTTAATTCAGTTTTTTATTATTAGATTTAATGACGAAGTAATTTATTTTTGTTTTAATCATATAATTTTCATAAGGATAATAACTAAATATTTTGTTAGAACTCAATAATTATCCTAATTATATTTTAGATTTTATATTTAAAATAAGAATTTTATCCTGTATTTGATTAATAGTTATTCTGTATTTAAAATAAGTTGTACCTACGCATAATTTACTTGTAATATTGAATTTCAAGTAATATGTATCAATAAACAATACTTCATGTATAAAAGATGGTTTTTAAAAGTTTTTACCAAATGCTTTATAATATAGTATAGATATATGAATACTTAAATCAAGATCAGTACAATCTGTTTCATGTTTAATTCCAAGTTTGGAGTGAAACGAAAAGAAACTATCAATTTGGATGGACTCTCGAAAGATTTATTAAATTTTCAACGGACTCCCAAGAAAAAAATATCTCTTGATCTTTTTTTGACAAATTTTTGATGAGTATGTTTTGTATTGGTTAACCATAAAAGTCATCGAAAATTATCGATGAAAATGTTGAAGGCAATTATCCGACAAAACTCGTCGTATTTTCATCTACTTTTTTTTTGGAAAAAAATGATTTGTCGTTAAAAATAGGTCTAAACTTTTTTGACAGATATACTCTGTTGAATATATTATTTATAAATACTTATTGGTATTCTAGTAATTTCCCCCCATAGGTTTTATTCAGAGACGGACTTATAGTGGTAAATACGGTGGCACGTGCCACCATTTTTTTCTTCCGTTGAATGGTAAAAAAATTTTAGGTTCGTAAAAGATGCAACCGTATTAATTTGTTGTGTGCCACCGAATGTATTTTGAAATTATAATTAGAACAAGTTTTATTTGGTAAAGTTGGTTTGCAAGGTCTTTATTCCACCCAAACCCAAATTTGAATTATGTTAGTGTTATTTTCTTAGTTAAATAGTGTCACCATTTGAAAAAAAAAATTTATATATTTATTTCTTATAATCAAATGGTGCCACCGTTTGAAAAAATTTCTAGGTCCGCCCCTATTTTTTTTTTTGAATCACTCCATTTCTTACAAGTATTAATTTAACATAACATACAAGTTGACTTCAAATAATTGTTGTTTATGAAAATAATAAATACATGACAAGATCCTTAAAACAAGGGAGTCCTCAACCATGAATGGGTAAAATAATTTTTTGTTAACCTTTTCTTTTTCAAATGTTTCATTGTATGAAGAATATGATAATACAGATACAGATAAATATATCAGAGTTAAATTAAAACTGAAATATCTTGTAGTTATCTACTTGTAACTCATCTTTATATAAATGACTTATGATTATGTATTAAAGAAATGAAAGTAAGATGCATCAAGGATGGTAACATAAATATATTTTGCTTTAAGTTTATATACAATCGACAATAACAAGCTTTCCTCTAGATTTAAGTATCATAATGCATTGACTTTCCAAACTCTCTTGATTAACGCACGAATCACGGGAGTGGAGACAAAAGGGACAGTCTACTGTATATGTAATATTGGTATGTTATGTTCTTTCCTTCACCTAAGGTTTTATTTTTCTCATTGAATTTTGTTCCTTGGTGTAAGGTTTTACTGAGACAAAACTTTACATACCATGCTACTTTTCTAACCCTCATGATTAATATACGAATTCCGAAAGATTATTAGACTAAAAATGAAAAATCTATGTATTGCAAAGAACTGGTGCATTACACTCTTTTTGTCGTCCTATTTTTATTTTTTCCCACTGAGTTTTTATTTTGACGTAAGATTTTAAACGAGACAACAGTTGTACACCATCACTCCTTTGACTCGGCACAAGGGAAATGTTGTAGGATAAGTGTGTCATCGTCTAAAGGATATGACGATAGAGATAGAGATAGAGATAGATATATCAGAGTTGGATCAGAAAAGAAATATCTCGTAGTTATCTACTTGTAACTCATCCCTATATAAAGGGATTATGATTAATGAGGATTATGTATTTCTTCTCTCTATTCTATTATTGTTTTTTTTTCCAATTATTCTATAACATTTTTTGGGATAACTAGGTTTCTAGATCAGTTTATACATACAAACTAATCATATGGATGATCATGAATTGCCATCACAGGTGAACCTCGATGTCATTAGGATTGTGATGGTGCTTATCGGGCAATTTTTCTCACCAGATTAACATAGCAAAGGCTAAGAATCATACCTGGTAAGAGCGATGATTATGATAGAGAGTCTTACCTGGTAAGTGAGAATGACGACTCTTATCCGGGTAAACGCTTATCGGGTAAATTGTTGCATAGAATACCGTTTTGATGTACTACAATCTTTATCCGATAAAAACAAATTATAACGTTGATTCCTACTCGTAAACACTTACCGAGTAAACATTTGAGTAAACGACCCTTAAGTCCCAAAGTTGTGTTATAAAGTGAAAGAAGTTCAAAGGACCTGACGTGGACAAGTGTTAAGAACGAATCCTTTCCACTTATATATTTTTTTATTTACTATAATTTTATATAATTTAATTTATTGTTCTTTATTTTTTTTTGAGTAATCATGGATTTCCAGGTCAAGTTGTGAATACCAACTAATTCCCCGGTGACCATGAATTATAGTCATCACATGTGAACCTCCGTGATCAAATGGCTTTTTACAACTCCTAAATTCGAGCCCGTGATAAATGAGATTTTCCACTACATCCCCATAGACTTAACTAGTTCACTATAATTCAAATCATGGACGGACCTAGGTATGTCGTGTATGTGACACGTGTCACCGTATTATTTCTCCGCCGAAGGGTAAAAGAATTAGGTTTCGTGAACGGTGCAACCGTATTAATTTGTTGTGTGCCAACGTATGTATTTTGAAACTACAGTGAGAACAAAATTTATTTGGTAGAGTTGGTTTGCAAGACTTTTATTCCATCCCACACCCAAGTTTGAATCCTGTTAGTGTCATTTTCTTAATCAAAATGGTGCCACCATTTGAATTTTTTTTCTTCGTATATATGTTTCTTATAGTCAAACGGTGTCACCGTTTGAAAAAATATAAAAATTTCCTTACATTTTTTTTCTTATGGTCAAATGGTGCCACCGTTTAAAAAAAATTCTGGGTCCATCCTTGATTCAAATGGTTAAATTATTATCTATATTTGATAAAATAATGATATAATTTTACGTGATTGATAGATAAATAGCAGATATCAGATTTAAATACTACATATTTTTAAAGAAGTAACACGTACACTACACTTTTAAGCTTGTCTTAATTCTCTCTCTATAAATACCTCTTAAACCTCCAACTTCTCTCTCCATCTCCAATTCTCCTTTTCTTTTCACACTGTTAATTTCTTTATCTCTTCTCAGTGTACAAACCCCACACACACACACATATACAGATATATATATATATATATATATATCAAGATTTGAAATCTTGTTCGTTTGTTTGTTTATGCATGATGGGGCTTTTCAATAGGTTTGTATGGTTTTTGCCATTGTTAATATGTCTTTTGCCACTGATGAACAACTTCAATGGAAGAGAAGGAGTCATGGCCTTTCACAAGGTTCACCTCAATTATCAAACCGATAACACTGTGAAGGTGAACCCGGCTCATCGAACTGGTTACCATTTTCAACCAAAGAAAAATTGGATCAATGGTACGTATGTTGTCTTTTCCTTCGATCATCTTCACTTCACATACATACATGCATTGTTTGTTAGTAATAGCTGTTGTGGAGGTTTAAACGAGAACACCAATAATTTATGAAAACGTAAGAAGAGATCTCAACCATAAAATGAGATGATGAAATGAATTTGATTAAAAAGGGGGTGGTGGTTTTTTGAGAAAGAAACCCACACACTTGTTTTTAAATTGAAAGTTTTTGTTTGGAAGAATTTATTCATAAATGAAATGATCGTGTTTTGTTTTTTAATTTGGAAGGACAAATTTAAAAAAAAAAACTTGGCTTTCTGCATAAAGCCCTCCCATAGAAACTTACTGAATAAATCACTTTCTATATCATTAAGCCACTAAACAATCATATATAACTAAACTAATAAGCCGTGAGTCTTATTAAACTGCTAACGAACATATCCCAAGTCTATGTGGGAACATGCCATCTCCAACGGAGGCTAGACAGATACACATGCATTGTCTTATTGGCGTCCAGAGGGGACTACACAAGTAAGATAACTAACATGTAAATACTGCCCAAAAGTATCGAGATCTTAAAACAATCGTCTTTGAGCCGATATCATGTAAAATCATATACGTTAGAATTTCATTCTATTACTCCCCAAAATAACATCGAATAGAGAGGTAAATGTTAAAACATTCATATTGATAAAAATCCCTTTGTGGCCACGAAGGTTCAAATGCGGTGACTCCAGGTAATCGTCGTGGGATTAGTCGGCTCGTATAACGGGTTGGATATCCTGGTTAATTTAAAAAAAAAGATTCAATTGTTTTTATTAAAATATGATATTAAATGTTGATAGAAAAAAAGGGTCGCGTTCACATTTCAATTTGTATGCCAGGAATATTATTAATATTAATTAGGAAATGTTATCACAAAACAAAATTTACAAGTCAAATGAATATTCGACATTATATGCATTGAAGACAGAGAAGAGCCTGCCTTTTTGAATATTAATTATTAATTATTATTAATATATAAATACTGTATTTTTTATTATAAAAATAATGTTTTCGAAAGCAACTTTTATTAATTTTTAGTTTATTTAATTAAGAGACATTATTAATGCAATTTGGTTTCGATTATATATATATATATATATATATATATATATAAATGCATGATTTATAAGTATGTTTTTTTTATTAAAGAAATTATATTGTCACGAGAAGTCCCTGTTAGTTTGTGCTTCGTATTTCTTGAAACTCCGTGATGGTGATTAATCGTATTAAAGAAAAAGAAATTCAATAGTTTTCTATGGAAATATATAAAAATAATAAATAAAATGAAATTAACATTTCGTGAAATATATTAAAGCCAAGGATGATGTCTGATTGATTTGGACTTGGGCTCAAGTTCAACTTCAAGTAGAAATAAAAGTCTTATTGTGGTCATGAAGATTCAAATACGATGATTCCAGACTACCTGCAAAGCAGGTGACCGCTCTGCAATTAGTCGATACACATAGTGAATGGAATATCCAGGTTAATAAAAAAAATTCCAAAAACCAATTTATTGCATTTTCCAGAAAATATTTAACTTTTATTTTAAATACATCCAAAATTAATCATGATTTTAATTAGTACAATGTATTTTTATATTTGATTTGATTTTCATTCATATACGAGTATATAT